GAACCATCACTCACGCATCGCATGGGTCTTGCATGCTACCCCATCACACTCACGCATGGGTCTTAAATTACATTTTGGCAAGTCACAGCACCCTATTGGTCCAAGAGAAATGTGATGCATGCATGTCATGTGCATACGAACTGGATGAACCTGCAGTAATGGTTTCTAATTCTGGTCACTGGAGTCTAGTCTAGTCTACACACATACATGTATGTCATGCAAGAGGCTAGTCTACAGACAGGTGTCATGCAAGAGGCTATTCTACAGACAGGTGTCATGCAAGAGGCTAGTCTACAGACATATGTCCTGCAAGAGGCTAGTCTACAGACAGGTGTCATGCAAGAGGCTAGTCTACAGACAGGTGTCATGCAAGAGGCTAGTCTACAGGCTGGTGTCATGCAAGAGGCTTATCTAAAGACAGGTGTCATGCAAGAGGCTATTTACATGTACATGTACCGATATCAAATACATTTCAGCTGAATTCAAAGAGAATGATCTATATTTGTACTGATTGACAATGGCACAGTTGTCCAGTTTTGGCAATTAACACTGTACATTACAAATATGACCTTCAATTTTACAAATGATTCATTAGAAAGAGTCTGGCTAATAGATAAGCCCGTTTAAACTGCTCATGAAAACCCTGAGCGCTGGTTTGGGATATCTAAAATAACCAGTTATAAAAAACAAATGATGTCCATGTACATGTACATGTACCTTAAGAATAAACACTCTAGCAATACAAATAATCATGCTAGAGAAAGACCCAATTTAGTATTCACAAACCAAAATCAAGACACATACATCTCCCACTGTGTGTTACAGCAAGCTACCCCTAGATGTACACTAAAATTTGGTCTTTTATTTAGGATTTGCCAAAACTACACTTCTTTGGTATCCAATCTGTGCATTCACATACATGTACATGTATTGTATTAGAGCTTGCACATTTCAACTTTGGGAAACCACTAGGTGGGATGATGGTTACCAGATACACAAACTGCTTTTATCATGAACATACCAACATGACCAACAAGGGAGACAGGAAAACCATTCACACAGGTAAGTCCCTGTCAAATATGCAGGTCCAAAATTTGTACTTAAGGTAGTCCTTTTTGTCTTTTTTCCTTGGTATCCTCAATGATTTGGCAAATACAATGTACATGTACACAGCAGATTGCTTATCCCAAAGTTGAAGCTGTCAAATTCTGGGGAGCAACCTGTACAGTATTAGAATAATTAACAGACTTGTTCAACAACCACTAAAAGGCAAAAGCCACAGACTTCAATTTCTGAATCAAAATGCCTACCATACCTTTTCCTGTCTAAGACACAGTTTGGGCATGAACAACGTTCCCGTCTGGACCGCCTAGCCATTCCTTCTCTGTTATCCTCCGCAGTTTGTCCTTCCATCTCCATATCTTCTCCTGATTTGAGTTCATTTGTTTGGTTGTTGGTATATCCCTGGTTCCCTGCCCCTTCCCCTTGATGACCAATTTGGCCCTCAAGGTTAAGGTCACCAGCCAGTTCATCCCCAAGATCTGGTAGCTCAGGAAGGTCTGGGGTTTCAGTGGCCTCATTGGGCTGCTCAGTGACTGGGATCATGAATGGTCCAGTCGGCCATTCATGTTTGTTAGCCCCTAAAGGAAGTACATGTACAAAAGCACAAAACAATGTATGACTTCAGGAAGCTTGCCAACATAAATTTTTTGATTCTGTAAACCTATTGGTTGCATAATCGTTCCTTTAACTAATTGCAAAATATAACTAAGGCATAAGCACTGTTGATATATCGATATATTGATATTTTCAATATGGGTTTGAAATCGACATCACCGATGTTAATTACCTTTATTTGGTAATATTGATATATCGAAAATATCAGATTTTGAGAAATATCGAAAATATCGAAACATTGAAAACATCGTTATTGAAAAATATACCGAAAATATCGCTACTCAGGAATGAATTGAATTTGTATTTTGTATAACCGTAACTTACGATAAGCCACGACTTACGTTGGTTCTCACGTTAATGTCATTTACCTTTTACATATATAACTGTGCATGTGACATATTCACTTCTGTACTCTGTAGTGCCACCATGGACCTAGCCTAAATACAACCGCACAGAACGTTGGCATTACCGGGCACAGTGCACATACATGTACATGCAGCTAACTTGTATGTAGTCAACTTTACCTCGAGGAAAGACTAGCATAGGGGTTACAGCAATTGATGCATTGTTACCAACCCCTATAGAGCGCACGTGCGTGTGTGTTGTATGATTCCGTTGCATCGTCAAATGTACAGGAACAGTATGTTCATGCATACTCTACGTTTACCGTATCATGTGTTTACATGGTCAAGTTTTTGAGAGCTAGTTAAGTACACATACATGTAGCTTGCAATGAGGTAACCTTTCAGGGTAACATACAGTTACTATGTTCTACTCTCTTAATGTTTTCTTACATAAGCTAATGGTGCATGTAACTCTTCGGAAGTGCACGTAAACTTTTTCAATTGCATGCACTAGTGGTGCACGTAGAATATTTTTTTCTAATTTGAAGCCTGGTTGCAGTTGGTATTCTCTATTGACATCAGTCTGCAAACTCCACCCTTATTTGCATAATCATAAATATGCATTGCCACTCTGAAGAAACATAATTCTTTGATAATATCTAAAATAACAATGATTGATTGGACATTTCAGATTTTACATCTACAAAATTTTTAAAAGATGACAATGACTTCTGTTGCACTATCCGGGACATTTTGGTGCAAAAAAAATGAAGATCACTTTTGGTAGTTGTGTCTAGAAAGGTGTACTGTAGGATGTGGAGTCCAAAACCACTCTCACACCTATCAGTAGATGGCGTGAGATCTGTAAGTTAAGGTGACAATTAAAATGAATAAATATTGATAATATCAATATAAAAAAACGATATATCGATATCAGCCAAGAGAAAATATTGATGGTGCCTACTAAGGCACTGGTGCTAACATTTGTGAAGCCTGATATTTACTGCATCAAAAAGAAAGGGTTTTTAGTTCAAGATTGATTTATTGGCTTTCTTTGGTTGTATTAGTTTTAAGTTAATGCCTAACGACAGAATTATCTTTTTTTCTTCCCCCAGATTCCTTTTATTTAAAATTAGAAGTGACACTGACTGTCACTTAGGAAACTAACAGTATACATTAGCATAATAGCTACACAAAATGACAGCTTAACTAGGCTTAATTAAACTAGATGAACAGCTTCCATGTACCTAGCTTAACTAAAATAGATGAACAGCTTACATGTACCTACATGTAGCTTAACTAAAATAGATGAACAGCTTAACTCGCTTAACTAAACTAGCTGAACTCAACAACACTATCATTCTGACTTTCCTCGATGGTGAAACTACATTATACTGAAGTAACAGTATCTTGCAGGGAACTAGGCTTACCTTTCTCTGCTGAGGATGTTGTATTTACTGATTTACATTCATTACAATGCCAAGTGTCATCTTTCTTAATGTCTTCCTTGGCCACGCCCAGACAGGCTGGATGAAACCATCCTTGGCAGCTGTCACAACCCAGATAAAACCTATGAGAGGGTTCAAAATGAAAAACTCAATCACAAGAGAAAATTTAATAGCTCTATTTGTATAGTTTATAGTTAAAATGAATGAACTGGAACAAGTCACATGCTGGAAACAATGAAATCCAAACTGGTGCAGCTCAAGTCTATGTACACACTGTACATGTACAAATATGGGATTACATTACCGTATGTATGACCACATCCAAAAGTTTAGACACTTGATAACAAAACTAAAAATGACAAAGTACATGTAAATGTAGTAAAAGGCTGAATTTTACATTACTTTTCTCTAATGTGTTAAAAAAACGAGGGCTCATTTTCCTACAGGTATAGAAAAAAATAGAGTAAGATGCTATTTTCCACGTACATGTAGCTATATCAATACATGTGCCTACATGTACCGGTACTTGGATTGATAAACATAAATTAGATCAATCCCATTTGAGAATGTCAGTGAAAAATTTCTGGGTACTATAGGCCTGCATGTACATGTAGGTCTTGCGGGATCACTTACACACACTAGTGGTTTTAGTTTTAAATTCTCCACCAAGACAAACACCCACAATATAAGAATGACTAGGACAGGAATGAAATTTCCCTAAGACTACGGTCAACTCAGCTTTTTTAAGTATTCTGTTCACGTTTTAGCCCTGTTTCTCATTTCTTTTTTTGTCTTTTTTGGGGTAAAAGATTGATTGATTTTTTGGTAAAAGATTCATAAGATTACCAGTCAGCCTCCAAGTTCCCTCCAACATACATGTACCTATACTCAGCCTGAATGGCAACACATGTAGTTGGGGCAGTGACTTTTCTGGACTGACTTTTCATTCTCAGTCAGGTAACAACATTTTTACAACTTACATACAATAACACGGATGTATATTATTTGAAATAAAAACACAATATAACAGGTACAAGTATCACTTTTTGGCCTTTGACCTCATCGTACTGTATGTGGGACAAAGACATACACTCAATTATTCCATGTTCCACTTGTGCTGGCATGATAATGAATTTATCTTCAAGCAAACATGATGCAAAGTAATGATGCAGTGTGCAATTTATGCACACAAGCACAAACACCCAAAACATGTGCAGATCATCAATTTCTGTGACTGTGTGAGCAGCAAGACGTTCCAGATTGTCAATCCTCACGTTCCAGATTATCAATCCTCTTTGTGTGCACAAATCTAAAAACAGTCGGAAATTGAAAGTACTGGTAACCTAGAAAATGTTATGAGTATTGCGTGCATGTAACGATCAGCTTGAGAAGCAAACAGGCCTCAACATTAATTTGTTAACTACTTGTCCATCGGCAAGTACCACTGAAAATTTACTTGCCTGAGATAAGATTTTACTTGCCCAACCTGGTTTAATTGCTCATTGCTTCCCAGGACAGTAAGTTCCTTCCTTCAACCAATCCCCAGTGATGACATTGCTACGCCACAATATGACATGAACACATGTACCACCCCCAACTACTGCATGTACATGTATGCAGAGAGTGTACAGGACTCTGATGCATCATTCTTACAAGTTCAGGCAATGGCTATTTCTTCACTCACTTTTGCCTGGTGTCATATACATGTACATGTACATATATGCAAAAAGTACACACACAAGTACCAGGCCATCAAAGCTCTGCTGTGCCGTGCGTGCAATAACCAATGAGATTTGGTACCTAGACCAAGGGTATTTTACAGTTTGTGTACGTACATGTACAGGTGCTCTGCTAAATGTACATGTACAGCATGCTTAATAAATGTACAAAAAAGTTCCTTGGTTACCCTTATATCTGTCCACAATTCTCAACCAGTAATATGACTTTTTTTCTAGATTAGAATGGTCCATCGATAACATACACCTAAATGGGGCATATCATCTTCTCTTAGTTTCTTTGCCATGGCTTAACAGCCCCACAATGCAACAGACCGAAGCTTAAGGAGTGTTACAAAGCCTGGTAACTCTATCCTTTTGAGTTAGCAGTCCCCAGTGCAACCGTATACATCCCCTACTCTTCGTAACCATGGTAATGTCATGTGCCCCCAGACAATGGAAAGTAAAGGGTGTGCTATGGAACACTGTCCTACCCGCCATCATCTGGTGTCTTGCAGATGCAAAAAAGCTTTTCTTTATTGTCTTCTGCTTGCTTTACTCCAGACACTTCTTCCATGGTGCTGGTTTGATCCATGTCTCAGACAACCTGTAGGAACAGAGATACAGAAAGTCTAATTATTCTTCTTGGGGGGCCTGCTATCTTGTTCCTTAAGTTTGAACAGGTTTTTGTAAAGTTTCAAACAAAATATTAATGACGTCCAAACAGATAGAGTTCTTATGCCACTGGCACCGGCGGAAGAAGTTACTTGACAGACTTATTTTGCCACTTCTCTCAGTTGTCACCACCGAATTATTTTTCGATGTACGTGGTAATACAACTGGCAGAAAAAGTGTGGTTATTTTGCACCGAATGAATTACGCACGCTATGTCCCTGAGCGTGATTGGGCAGACCTGTGTGTGCAACATACATGTACAGTATAGTAACTGCTGTTGGAATATCCAATACCCACCCCCCCGGACCCAAAGATTGTTTACCAGAGACAAGCACCGGGAAACTCTATTAAAACACAAGGAATTTAATTCAGACACCCAAATTTAAAGCTGGATATAATCAGCATACAATAAAGGTTGTTGCGCCATTGAAATGTATCTGTTCTATGAATTAAATTGCCTACATGTACAAACATTTACATACTGTACATATTGGTAACACTAACACTTAAAACAGAAAATTCTAATACATGTACATACATGTACACACAGTTAATGACACAAGCTCCACATTGATGTCAAGAAATTTTTCCATATGACCGGTTCGCACACCAGTGTTGAGAGAAGGATTTCTATTATTCATGTACACACCTTCGTGAACCCTTCTCTAAAATTATCTAAAATAAGCAGATGAGACCAAAAGGAACACAAACATTAAAAAGTGACTCTACAATCGAGCAAGAAAGTTTGGTACCACATCTTGTTCGTCAAAGTTCCAAAAACGTCTGCAGGCAAGTTGACAGAAAGATTAGGAGAACCCACAGATTTTACAAAGATATCTTTGCAGTCAATCTCAAATCAGAAAACACCAACCCATTTTGGAATTACTGTATGTAAAGTCCAAAAAGTAGGAAAGTGTCTGGTGCTTCACCACTTCACATTGCAAACTGTATCATGTCAAGTGCAACAGATAAAACTGATGCAGCAAACTGCCCATTTCGCTCAGTACCGGTATGTACATGTACATATACATGTGACGATACAACCAACAACAAACATCACACTGATCCATAACAAGAATAACCAGTCTGCCCCTGCAAATTATCATCTAGTTTTGTTCTCATCCAAAATTTGCAAGGTCCCAGAACATATCATTCACAGCCATATCATGAATCACTTTGAGCAGTATGGGATTTTAGCTGACCAACAACTTGTTTTTTTTTTTAAAGGGCAGGTCATGGGTTATGTGAGATACATGTATTACTGTCAGCTTTGATCAACTACATGTACATGTGTATGTATGTACGGTACTTCTAAATACTGGTAACCTTAGATATGTAATAACAGTAAAGATGATCTCATTATCATTAATTGCGATGAGGTTTTGCTACTGTTGCCATCAAAAAATTCTATGGTGCATGTAGCTTAGCTGGAACATTTAGGAATCCAAAATAACATTCATACTTACATGTACATGTAGATTGACTGCTTTCTCACTGATTGATACCAGAAAGTGGTTGTTGACTGTGAATCTTCACAGCTATGTGTATGTGTATGTGTGTGTATATCACCAGTTCTGTCAGGGCCCTCAGGGGTACCACAGGGCCCTGGCCTTATTATTCTTGGTCTACAGTGCAAGGGCCCTTATCCTTGGTCTACATATATGTGTGTAAACAATCCGCCAATCTGATGACTGCATCTTGTAAAGGGAAACTGATACTTTTGGGGACTCTGGTAAAATCTTGCAACAAGACATCAAGTCATTAACCACCGGTGCACTTGGGAATCCACCAAGCAAACAAGGTTAAATCAATTCAAATGTTTCTCAATGAGAGTGACTCATAAACTTATACCAGTGCAGGATGGGTGATGATCTACAACTTGCAGTCAATGGACACAAAACTCTGGGCCAACTCAAGAGAACATAATCCAGCTGTGATAAACACATCAAAGAAATACATACATGTACATGTACCGGTACAAACCACTTATTGCACCACTATTAGAATATTGTTATGCCATTTGGGACCTTCATTAACATAACACCATCAGGGTACATGTACATGTAAGTTCAGAGGTGCACAGCTACATGTAAAGTTGTTTTAACAAACTACAATCGCTTGTCAAGGATCATCTCAATGCACAGTGTGCTACATGTACATGTACAAGGCTGGGACCCTTTGGAAGTCAAGCCTACAAGAGCACAACTACATGTATGCACCATTTACAAAGAGAATCAAAATTCCAAGTACAGTACATATAAAAGGCCTACTAGTATCCCCCCATGCGAGATCATCAATCTAGAAATCAATTATCCATAAAATGTACAAGACAGACTAACATCATTATAAATCTTTAACGCATCCAGGCAAACAAAATCAGCTACATGTACTGGTACATGTACCTCCACTCCCAAGGTCAATCCCACAATGGAACCTCCTACCTGACTCTATTAAAAAAAAAGTGTTGAGTTCCTTCAAAACCCACAAGACAAATTTCAGCCAACTCTCTACCCAAGCGCAGTTCAAAATTTACATGTATTGTCATAGATAGTGAATTTATATTGGTCGCGAACTAATCGTGTGATATGTCACAAGCTCGTACATGTACATGTACGTATCATTCAAGCGTCACGTGCACTGGCGATGTTGCTGGGCCACAAAAAATGATGGATCACGGTGATCTTTCCCAGAGTTGATGTGTCATATCTACTGCATTGTGATTGTGTAACCTTGGGTATAAGGATGCATAGCCGCAGTGGTACCACTTCACTCGTGGAACACAAGTACTTGTATGCTCTGATCACTGCTTCTGCTGCGATTGTCATAGCTGTTTATATAAAACGCTCGTGCCATTGTATCTTCTCTTGTGCACATATTACAGATATAAGAGCATTCCAGTGAAATCTATGACCATGGTATAACAAAACAATTGTTGCCTGCAGTGATCGGATCCATGGGTTTTGTACAACCTTGGGGGCAAATGGCACCCTTGGCATTGCCTTGAGAGCCATTTGCCCCCACAGGTGTACAAAACACCACGGACCCCTACACTGCAGGCAACAGTTGTTAAATGCCAGCCAGCACCATTGCAGCATTACCTGTACTGTACATGATAGCCCTATAATGTCCACCACAAGAGTTTGTGCAGAAGCCTGCAAATGCACGTGTACTGGTACATATTGTATCCTGCCTCCATTTTTTTCATCAGTTATGATCTCAATGAAAATCAATTGGCCTCATTGCTAAAATACTGGAATGACTTGGACTGGGACAGGAAATCATTTCTAAAACAGTCTTTTCCTAGTTCCAGATCAGGAACATAATTCAGCCTGATAAGCATACATGTACCTGTGGCTCAAATAATCCTCAAACTCTATTGAAATGTGTTCAGCAGTCCATCTCATGTGCAGGAGATACTACAAAATTTTTTTTTAATCTAAAGTTTTAATTTGGTCTTACAGGAAACATGTACACGTAGATAAAGTGACAATGAGACTTTTCCTTCAAGTAGTTCTACTAGTAGATCAGTTTAATTTGTTCCGCTTCACTTCAAAAACTTCTTCGTGCGTATTTAGGAAATCAAACAGGAATTCCATTTTTTCAGTCTGAACCACCGTAACAGCCTAAGGGAAAAATTTCATACCCATTAGCCACTTTTTTTACACTTCTTGAATCTCAACAGCATTTAAAAAGAGGCAACAATATTTTTAGGGAGGGAGCTAGACTTGTGACAGGGGTTTAGTAATGTAACTTGGGAGACAGGTTTAAAAAAAGGGGCCCATTTCACACTAAAAAAAACAACAGGTTTTTCTCTGATACCATTCATGTCAACATGGCTGTCATGGTGGCCTACAACCTGTAGTTGATCATGTAGACATGTACTGTAACACAGTGTTCAAAATCATCCAAAATTTATCTACAAAGATGGTGCGTTAAACTTTCTTAAAATTTCAAATGTCGAGGGTAAGAGTTTTATTAGCTTAGTCTGTAAACAAATACAGTATAGTTCTTGGAAAGTGGCCAATGAGTATGAAATTTTGTCCACAACCTGAATTTCTAATGCAAAGAATTTCTTAACTTAGAGAAAATTGGTTTATACATGTATCAGAATTCCAGTGAATTAGAAAGGATTTATAACTTGCATAAATATGATTAACCTTTTTCAGCTGCACAGACAATGACAGAAGGCTACTGATTATATCCCCCTGAGCCACAAAGTGGTCATATCCTTTAATTTACACTTGTGTGTCAGTGTCACATACCTATGTACCTTTTATGCGTGAGTTATAATAATAATAACAACACAGTTTTTATATAGCGCATCACACCAAAGTCCCGATGCGCTTCACAAGAAACAAAAGCAATTAATGGAACAGGTAAGTTTTAAGGAGTGTTGTAAATTCATTTTTAGTATTGACAGTTCTGATATGGTGTGGAAGAGAGTTCTAAAGCGATGGTGGAACCGTGTCCATTAAGTCTTAGTGCGAGTGACCGGTGTATTGAGCAGCAATGTTGAGCTAGAATGAAGGGTGCATCGTGGCTGGTATATTTGAGTAAGTGTACTAGGCCTAGTTCAGTTTGCCACGTGTATTACATACATGTATAAACATGCACAATCCCAAACCAGGAAAAAATATACATTCAGCTTTTGGCACATTTTAAAAAACTGGAGATTTTGAAAGTCACTTCCAAATGATAGACATTTGATGTGAGAGTTTATGTGACTGTTGAGTGTGAAAAAAGTACTTGGAACCACATTGAGTGAGGTTTAGCCCTGTATATTTTTCTTGATTTTTTGGCTCCCGTGATGTTCGACAGACTGTGAAACATGTCAAAGTGAAAGTGTGAAATCTGACCAAAATTCCTTTCCTTGAACTTTTCTGGAAATGAAATCTGTAGGCCTGCAGGAAGTTTACAGCCTACATGTACGGTACTTTGAAAACACTCGTCTGAAATAAGTTGGACAATAACACACAAACAAGCACAGAGACAAGAAAGATTGCTTGTCTTTTTAAGTGATCTGAAACTACCCCCAGAATTGTGGGGTCCGACATCCGCCCCGCTCCCACAGTTCAGGGGGTAGACCTAGGTCTAATCTGGAACCAAGAAAAATCTGAAAATGACTCTAGCCTGGGCCTATTGGAAAATGTACCACCAAGCCTAAACTCTGGAAGTGTAGCACTAGCAGGTTTTGAACACAACATGACAAAGTTGCGTCAAGATGCTGCAGCATGCAGCCTGCCTCATATCTAGGCTAGTGCTTTCTTTCTGCATCAAGTTGTGATACATTACATGTATACATGTAGGCCTACCCACAGAACTGTGGGGTCCGACGTCCGCTCCTGTCCCACGAGAGAGGAGTGGACGTCGGACCCAGTTCTAGGGGTACTGTAGGCCTACGTACGAGTCAACGATACACTGTACCGTACATGTACGTGTAGGTCTATGGAGCGACCATGACGACACGAAAAGTCCCGTAGTGAAAATAAGCCACATATCAAAAGCCTTTTTCAAACATTCAATCATTTTAATTGGCAAAGTGATAAAACTATGGATGGAAGGTTAAATTGGTCTCATTATGGATCACATATAGTGTCAATGTTTCAACTTACCATGAGAAAATTTGTTCAATTCAGACACCAACGAAACCACCCCGTTAAGAGAACACATAACGCTCCAATTTTCACCATCAATCACTTGGTGGCGCACTTCGATTTGGCTGCGTGATGCATGAAGTTCATCAAAACAACTACATGCAAATGTACACGTACGTATATGTACGTTGTAATACATGTACAGTGTACTTGACTTCCTGTGGACCTCAAAGTAAAAAAAGCACTGTCTTTTCTTTCAAACATGTATGTTGAAATCTCTATTATTGGTAACTTTGCACATGTATACGTTTAGTGATTTCCAAACCCTAACACTGATTGAAAGCCCAATTAAACATGCAGTAATTTAATCTTTACACGCTGCCACAAAAGAAACCAAAACACAAATCGTATCAATTTGTCTGTTCAAGTGGTATTATTGTATAATGTAACTATATAAGTACATCACACATAATGTACACACATTTGAGAGTTTACAAACCAGCTTCATTCATAAATACTTGAAAGCAAGAATACTGCATACATTCCAGCAGAAAACATTGAAACTATAATGTTGCAATAAGAAAAAAAGCTTGGATGATAAAAAGCAGATAAATATCCAATTGTGTTCCCGATTTAAAATTTTGCACATAAAATCTTTAATGAGTGGGAAGAATAATTCCAGATTTGCTTAGGATAGCAAACATTCTCCTTGACTTTCACTTTATTTCACTTTTTGAAACTCAAAACAATATCTGTACATGTACCTTCAAAAACAAGAAAAATTTCAGCCTCCCAAATTGTTTGACAAGTTTTCAGATTTCAAAGTGAGGCATTGTATAAATTGTGAAGGTGGAAACTCCTTCAGAAGAGGGGTTATTGAGCAATTACACTTAATAACGGTCAATAAAACGATCCAGTTCAAGATAAAGATATGTGAACATAATTACAAAGGACTGGGACAGCAAATGATACATCTAATTCCATGCATTTGTTTTCAAGATTTGAAAAAAGTTTATACATGTACATGTATACAGTTGTTAATGTTTGATAAGAATTTAGAGGCAAGTTCTGTACAGCATAATCTGGCTTTTTCTTAATGTATTTACAAATATTTCAGATTTGTTATTTACAGTGTAGTTACAAGAGAAAAAAATACAGCTACAATCATTTGAAATTTCATTGCATGGTCATTTAAGGTCAATTATGTTGCTGTATGTATCCAATGCTGTGTATCTTGAAATGAGTTAGTACAAAAAATCCTAATTTTGGACAGTGATTGCTTTTAAAAGCAATAACTATACATGTAGTTGTTATCTCAACTGTTACAACTTAATCAAGAAAAATGCAGTTTCCGAAGTTTAAGTTTCCATTACCTGATGAAGCTGTTTACCTTCTTCACTTCTTTATACCAAGAATATACATGTATATGGAAAGACAGGTTTAGCCTAGGCATCCCAAATATCAAGCCTCAAAACACAAATGAACTGTCGTCTTTCACAAATTAAGCATAAACAAACCAATCAAATGGTTGCCACTAACTGGCATCTAGGGTTCTATCACCCATCTGTAAGACCACTGCATTTGTGAGTGTTTCATTGTCAGGTGTGGACACCACTTCACTACTGTCAAGAGCCACCGAGCCTTCTTCGAAATCCCCATCTTTTCCCTTCTTATTATTGTGCGTCTTGACGTGTTTGGACAGGTGGTCACTCCGCATGAAGCGCTTGGAGCAATAAGGGCAGGGAAAACGTTTCTCCCCTGAACACAAAGGAATAAGACGGCAAGATTAAAAACTACCAAAAAGAGTTAAAAGTCCCAGCCCCCATATGCTTATGAATGAACACTACCCAAACCAAACTTATAATTTTTGGTACAACTCTAAAAATACACACTTATTTTCAGGGGCAACAAATCTGTAGTCCATCTTAGCTAAACATATACACATGTAAATGTACTTGTATTCGTTCAATTAATAATTAGTGATCACAATGGAAATTCTTGTAGTAACAGATACCAATTCCAGCAACTTCAGCCTTTTAGTAACCTCTGGAAACTTTATCTTCATTATAAAATTTTGCTGAAACCAAAAACTATCATGAAACATTCCCTAAGGAAACTACGTTTAATTTAAATTCAACATCTGCATGCGTTACAGGAGCTGTCTGTAGCAGTGTTGTAGTCGAGAATACTTAAGATCTTTACAAGACCACAAAAGACAGCACAAGACCTCCAGTCTGAATTCAAGTCACAAGCTATTCAAATAAACTACAAGAAAAGCATTCCTTTGTCATTGTTCACACTGTTACTTATGACTGGTCTTATGCTTGGTCTGAAGTCAGTACTGATCTGGTTCCAGACTGCTTAAAGTACTCCTTAACACCAAGCGCCACTTGATGTACAGTATTTTATGCCATAACAGTATGCAATGACAGAAACTGCAGTTGTGTAAGACCATGTTCGGAGGCACTGCATAGCCAAAATGTTACATGTATTGCCTTTACGCTTTACCTGTGTGGGTCCGCCGATGCCTCTGTAGTTCATCTGATCTTGTGAATCGCTTGCCACAGAACAACCAGTTGCAGACAAAGGGTCTCTCTCCTGTGTGCCATCTCAGATGTGCCCGGAGGTGGGACGTCTTACCGTAAACCTTACCGCATCCTGAAATGTGACAGATGTGCTGCTTCTTGCGACCTTCAGCATTTAAATTCCTATGTGACGGGAAGTGCCAACATGGTGCATGATGTGAATTTTCACATGTACAGACAATGGAATTAGAAAATAAAGAAGGATCTCAGCAGGGAAACACAAACAAACAAAAACACTACTGTACCTTCCTTCACTGTCTTTGCAGTTAGGACACGTGCATGCCACCCGTCGCAGTCTTTTCTGTGTCGGCTGAGTAGATTGGCCTTGATTGTCCTCTTCATCTGATCCACCAAACGAATTGTCCATACTTAGTGTAGCACTAGGCTGTACCTGGGCAATGACCTGTGTCTGTCCCTGCCATTTCTTGTCTTGGATGGCATTAGCTTGCTGGGAAGCTATTGAGAACAAAAAAAGTGTGATTAATATTTTTAACAATTCACAATTGGGTATGACAAATATTTAAGGGGACCAGGCACATGTACCGATTAATTAAACTTTAGAAGTAGAGCAGACTGGCATTTGTTATACATGTGTCAATTGCTACACTGTACTTGTAAACTAAATGCAGCAGAAAGCTCTTTAAGAGAAGAAGAAATGAACTGTTAGCAGTGTTTGTTTCAGAAAGGAAACCCTTTTATAGTCTGGAACTGAAGGTCAAGGAGTTACATGTAAGTGGCTCATTTCATAACAAAGCAATTTTAACGGGGGTCAATGGTTAAAAATGCTCATTTTCATTTGTTTCCAGCTATAGAACTATCAACACTGATCAGAAAAGGGAAACGTTCAGTGAGATGAATAGACATGAATATGGTGATGTACATTGTACTAGGAGAAAAAGGACACCCTTCAGAGCTCATGTATATAGTACTTTTGTGTACTGTCAACACTCATTATAAAGAACACTGTTATAACCAAGTTCTGTTACAAAGGACAGATTTTGAGAATCCAAATTTCTTAAATACCTTTGTTTTCTTTGTTTTTCAACTCCTCTTAAAACAAATCGATAGTTACAACATACTAATTTGTGAAGTCCCCGTCACTTTATTAATGAGAGTTAACTGTACATGTATTAGGGTTTTACTGCAAACCTTTACGTTGTACATGCATATATGTAAATCTACATCTGAGCATGCTAACATAATTTTAACAAGGTACACTGTATTAGATCCAATCTAAATACATAAAAAATGTACACATGTACATGTAGTTCCTTTTATTAAGCATTTTTTTCTAATGAAGTCGTTTTTATCTTTTTATCCATTTTAAATTAAATACATGGGGTATCTTAAATTGTTGAGGATGACATCATACATGTACATGTACATTCAAAGAAAATGAGCAGGGTACATTACCAAAAATCCCATCTATAGATACTTAGTATAATTGCATACTGAGATGGCTCATACAGATAGTTAGTGCAAATGCATGAAGTTAATAGCTTTGGCATGATTAAGAGAGATTACAGTAGGTTGTCAATGATATAGAATTTCCCTAAAGGAAGAAAATGAAACCATTGACGCAAACAGATCCATGGGGACCACATATGGTACATGTACATGTATAATGGTGAGCAGACAAGTATCATAAACCACACATTGTACTCCATTTCACCACTCGGACTGAAACATTTCAAACTGCGGCTAATTGTATAACTTCACAATAAATGTATTTTCCATGGTACATTATGCATATTACGGACATGTGCATGTGCATGTAATTAACTGGAAATGCACAACCAAATTTAAATTACATATACGAGTATTTAGGTTCCAATTCATCTTTTTTTCACAAGGCAAATTTATGAATAAGATCAATGCAATTGCAATGTAATAAACATGAATTTAATCAATACAATTGTTAATTTGAAACATTTGTATGAAGTTCAACAATTTTGTATCCAATCACTGATATTGAGTATTCTTAAAACTGTGATCCTGTTCTTTATCAAATTCAACTTAAATGTGATGGATACAATTGTGTTGGGTTTTCTTCCACTTTGTGTCGAGTGAACAAACAACCAGAAAGACAATTTGTGAGCACAGGACAGCTCTTGTGACTTTAACTTATTGCAACAAATGGAATTTGATCTCAAATAACATCTGTTTCAATAAATCTGAATTGCTTTTCCACATGATGATGCACTGTGGGCATGAACACAACTGTCAGAAATGACATAATTCACTTTCAGCCACTTTCTACTCAAGAGCAAAACTAAAGGTTGTTTGAATCTTCATAGCCAAAGTGGGGCATATTAGATGTTGAAAACCACGCAAGACACAACTTTTTTCAGATTTGAATGGTGGAGGGCAAAAGTCACAAAATATTCATGGGATCTGCACATGCTTGGAGGGTGCAAAACTATGGCTGATTTATTACCACCAAGTTAACACACTGACCCCAAATACCAACCTATCATTGTTGAATTATTAGACCTATCCACAACCAGGAATGAAAAACATAGCATTCAACTGACACAAAAATAGGCAGGATCAAATCACCAAAGAATGCAGACTCAGGCTCAATAATAAACAATGAATATGTAACCTGTCACGACAAAATGAGTGTAAAGTCACATACGCTCTTTCCAATTTGAGGATTCAAAGCCATATTGGAGGTCAATTTATTTTTTTTTTAACCCTAACCCTCCTCAATCCTCCAACAGGTGAAGGATTGAGGAGGGTTAGGGTTAATATTTGGAACAAGTAACCCGTCTCTTATGTACTTTCAAATATTTCATAGGATCATATACTTAAAAAAGTCATTTTCACAGCAATTTTGATAACCTTTTTTGAGCGAAGTCAGAATTTTAAAACAATGTCAGAAATGCAAAGCTGCCACGATAATGTCACATTGTCAACTTACATGTATACTTTTACCCCAAGTGTTCCATGAGTAGACTGTTGGAAAACTCACTTTGTGTTGAATTCCAAAACATAAATACACTGTACATGTATCAGCTCATTTTGTGGTGACAGGTCACATACATGTATGTGAAAGAGCAAAAATGTGATGAACAAGGCAAACAACCTGAAACATGCAGACACAAATCAAATGTCAAATGCAAATGCCCTATAGCAAAACAGTTTTAACATTTTATTCTGTATGTTTAAAAGTAATACAAGGCATAATTAAAGCCTGCTACATCCAACTAAATCTGAACAATTTGGGACCAAAGTACATTTCTACATGAAATTCTTGTTATTGTTGCACCCAGTCATATTAAGCGAACTTTTTGTTGCTGACTACTGTATCTTAATTTGCGTCTAAAAGTCACATGCAAACAAATATTACCCAATGTATTAAATAAATGCATATAATTTGGAAAAAGTGTGTGAACAGAAAATCATGCGTTTTCCTATAAATGTAAATGTACATATATACATGTAGTTCTTGCATCAACGTAATATTAATGTCTCAGACTGTCTTTACAGAAATATTAGTCAGTGGAACGGGATATAACTCCCAAATGGCAGTTAGCCACACCCCCTGACCTGTCGACCATTGGGTAAGCTGCAACCTGATTGGTTCATTGCTGACAAGTCATGCACCTCACAAGAAAGATGTACATGTACATGTACGATATCAAATTGCTTTCCTGTTCATATACATGTACATGTGTAAACATGCCCACTGGCATGTCCGTATGCAAAATGTACATGTACATGTATGCCTCTGGACTTCACTTGATGTCATTATTTTTGGCAAAGCATGTAGTTGTGCTGATGTGAATAACTGCCTACTTCTACTGTAACCCTAACCCCCAGGGGTGTATGTGAAATTGTACTGAACTTGGAGGATTTGGGTCTGTTAGGGTCAATGGAATAAAAAATGGAGATGACTTACATATAAGTAGATCTGATTGCCTAAATTTAAGTATAACTTGCAGTGTTACATTCAGCCGTTTGGAGCTATCAAAGTTAAATCTATAATTTCAGACCCTCCCTACTTTTTACTTTTCACTGCAAAAATATCTACCAGTATCTACAAGTAGTATAAGAACACAAAATTGCAAAAGTAAACAACAGAATTGGAAAGAATGAAGTGAATCTTTTTCACACACAACCTTCAAACAGTTACATATCATATACATGTCCTCCAAAAGCCAAACCAGTGAAGGAAGAAGTGAGTGATTTCTGAAAGAAAAGAAAATCCACTTTGTAAGAAACTCACCGGTTACAGAAGCAGCCCTTGCATTTGATGATGCTGCGGTTGTTGTAGGCATCTGTTGAATCTGTACTCCCATAGGCACCATGTTACCTCCAGTTGACAAGTTGATACTGGGTAATGCAGTGACCACCTGTGTTGCCGCAACCGAACCCACGTTCCCTGTTCCTGCAGTCGTGGTCAGTATCTGTTGTGGTTGCGACACTGCTCCTGAGATGCTTAATCCCTGTATTTGCACACCTTGGATGTTGAGAGTGTTGTTGGGGGAACGCAGGGCTGTTAAGATCTGACCTGGCAGTATTGTAGCCATCTGCTGTTGCCCTTGCAATTGGATAGTCTGGACATTATTCTGTGGTTGTAGGATGATATTCTGGATGGCCTGTTGACCTGTTGCAGCCTGGGCAGGGATAGTGAATGTCTGCTGTGAAGTGTTGATAATGGGTAGCCCGGTACCTTGTTGGATGGTGTATGTCTGTTGGACAGGTTGCACAGTAAAGCTCTGTTGCTGTTGCTGCTGTGGCTGCGCTGAGCTAGCTTGGATGTTAGTGATTTGTTGTGACTGCTGTTGAATGGCCACTGTACTCTGCTGAGGCTGTTGTTGGAGCTGTTATATGATAAAATCAACAGCAGAAAATTAATTACTAGGGACAATACAAGTCCAAGCGCAACAGCTTAAGTAACATACATCGACATGCACAAAGGTTGCAGATACTGTACCGGTAGCTGTTTGAATACCAACGGGAAATATTCCTTTTTTTACCACAATCAATTTCTGCTGTGGTTACACTCTCAAGAAGCAAACAATCATAATGCTACTTCAATATTAGATGTTCCTCTGTATAATTTTTCCAGGAAATAAACACAAGCCCCCTGTTTTGAATAAGAGGAGTTAAACCTCACTTGAACTGGTTGTGCCATGTTGATACTGACAGGGATTGGAGTTGACTGCTGAGGAATTACGACCTGTTGCTGTTGGTGCACTTGCTGCTGCTGCTGCTGTGGGACGACCTGTGCCACAGAGATCTGCTGGGGTTGTTGAGGCTGTTGGTTCTGCTGTTGCAAAGTCTGGTCCGTTGTTACTATCTGCTGTGCTTGTGCTTGAAATTGCTGTGGCTGGAGCTGAACGGTATTTGTGAAATCTTGTTGTATGGGTGATGCAGCAACTATGCTGTACACTTGCTGCTGCTGCTGATCAGTCACATTCCCTGCAGTGTTAACCATGGGTGCCAGTTGGAATGTTATCGGTTGAGAAGCAACTCGGGGTGCAGTGCCAATGTTCTGTACGATTGGACTCGCCTGTGTCTGGATGAGTTGCCCATTCTGGAGGGCAAGGCTTGCAATGTTTGGCGCTGGGGATCGAATGATAGCTGGTGACTGGTTAATAGCACTGGCAATCTGATTGGCAATAATATTGCCATCTGCGTCCAACTGAATCTGAGGGATGATGTTGTACTGGACATTGCCCGTTCCTGCTGCGGCATTGCTGGTGTTAGAGTTGGCTGCTGCAGCTGTCAAAATCTGAGCCGGCTGTACAATCTGCTGCTGGGGATTCCAGTTCAGAACGTTGGCTGTGTTGCTAGTCGTTACCTGTTTGTTCGTCTCTATAACTTGCTGTTGCTGCGGTTGAACGATTGGCGGTGCACCTATCTGAACGGGAAAAGCAGAGATGGTCTGGAATTGTGTCTGTTGCTGTGCAGCAGGGATGGCAATTACGCCATTGGCTCCCACACAAATTTGTGTTTCTGCCGGTTGGAAGCTCTGATTCTGCCCCACGAACCGGATGGCAGTGGTTGTTGCCGTGTTCACCGCTTCTTCGGGCGGAGATCCTATCTTACTACATGTAGCTGCCAGCAAAGCAAGAGGAGATGGTTGCTGTTGGCCACTATTATCTCCCTGTGCAAGAGGTGAGAACAACAACCTTCAGTGTAGTATTTCGGGTTTTGTTCTTAGTTAATTTCTTTTCACGGGGGGACGGATGATGGGCGGGTTTTAGGTGTGGGTGTGGGTTAGCTCACGGAAGTTATGAACGAACGATGCTAGGCCAAGCCTACGAGAGAAACATACCGACCATAAATCGCAATAAAATAGTTTAATAAATACAGCTTTGTTACCTGTGTTGTTGTGGAGGGTTGAATGTACTCTGACTTTGCTCTGGTGACGGACACAGTCGTCATTTTGTCCGAATTTCAAGATTTTTCATGGACAATTCGAATCAACGGAGCGACAGCCCAAACATGAATAAAAATAGCATCAATGTAAGCACACACAACGACCACGCCATTTGCGCATTCAAATGCCCATTTACCCTCATTAAGGATAAATATTAATTCGCCTATTGACAAGACTAAAAATCAAGAACAAATTACCATAGTGAATCGAATCGAAATCTGTTTCAACTACATTTTGTTCAAAAGTAAGGACGGGAGAACAGTAGAGACTCACAAGGTCAAATTTAATAAAGAACAAACACACGCTTTATTGCTACTTTAGACGCGTATGGACACATAACTGTGGAGTGGCACAATGAATGGTGCCCGGAAAAACGTGGTTGATTGACGGCTGAAGGCCTGGGCGGCACGACCATGCACAGTCAACTTCAAAGCAGGTTGCCGATGCGTTGCACTTAATGAGTTCCACTGCGTTTTAAGTGAATTCTGTGCCCGAACTCGACACAATTGGAATAATGTCGAACCCTGACGCGAAGACGAAACACGGATCTAGTTTTTCTGGATGTTTGCACCCAATTCCATTTTTGTGCGATTTTATGAGTCCCTAATGTATTGAATGTCAAAGTGTTAACAATCTACTCAGATCGACTGGCTTCCGAGTCGCGTGATACGCCGGCCCGCGCCAAAGTGGAGTTTAGTAACCAACAAATACAACTGACAGGCCCGCGCCTGACCAGAGACGGGGGGGGGGGTGTCGATAAACCAAAAAGTAGAACTCTTGGCACTGTGAACACATATTTTCATATAAAGGCCTATCGCAATGAGCTTTGTAATACAACATTGAAAAGTTGCATGTCTGTCACGAACCAAAGGTTGCATGTAAGACTTGTACACTGTAGTTTTCTATATTGAATAAACTTAAAATACATTGATTTCAAACCCTGAAACACCTGAAATGTGGATATTTGCCGGAACTTCCTGACGGTACATAATGACTGGAAATTGACTCATAAAAATGCAGAATCGTGGTCACCTTGAGTTTGAGAATCAACGTACATGTATAAGCGGTGGCTTGTATGCTGAATATTACGGTCTATTTTAAAATTCAGTTAAAAAAAAAGGACCACCAACAAGCGGAACTCAGACGCGAGCGGGGGGGGGGTTCGAAAACCTACTTTTCCTACTCTGAATTTCCGGTAAAAAACCCCAAAATCAAATATCGTGTTCTTGTTGGTGACAATCATTGGCATATTAGGCGGGGGGGGATTCTGGCGCTTTCTGATCCTCAAAAGACAAAGCACCCCCTCCCAAAAAAATCATCAAAAAAGGAAAAAAAGAAAGATAAATTGATAAAAAAAAAATAATTCAAAAACATCAAATGGCACATCTCCAGCTTATCCCTGTTGGATACGCCTCTGTTTACAACCATGCATTTCTCAATCAATGACACTCGCTCTACGATACTGCATATTTCATTGGCAGATTTCAAAATTTGATTGGGTTAGAGGAAGTCAGTCAATTCTGATAACGGAATTCAAACAAAATAATCGCCTATAGAATTTCAAAGAACTTTAGTTCTAGGTCAATTTCCCAAAAATGAATTAATTGCGTACAATAAACTCGCTGATTTGGAATTTCACGTTCTTCATTAGTATTATGTTAAGAAATTACATGGATGCTTTTAGAGGAATTTTGAGCCTGAGGGAAATAATGTATATACACCGATATAAAATAGGCCAGACGAGCAAGTTTGCCGGAGCAAAATTGATTGTATGAAACGTTCCAAATCCTCATGCATGGTTGAGTCTACTTGGTTTTTATTAAATGTTTTTATTTTTTTAAAGAAATTGAACATTTGTAAAGGGTGCAAGTTATTTTTGATAAAATCCAACGTTTCATATCCAGGTCGACTTTAGTCAAATGGAATTTGCATTTTGCCCGGAGTGTTTGAAACCCGCTTTGACCTTTGCCGGTATTATTATGACTTCGGCCGTGTATACAAGGTCCATTGATGTTCCTGATCTACCGAACAGATCAACTTTAACCGTCCAAATTAAGTAAAATTAAAGGCTCTTCCAGTTGGAACTTGCCAATGATATCGTCTTTGGAATTTATGGAACTTTTGGCTACAAGTTCCGTAGAGGAATATTGAGCATGGAATCACAGCAAAATAACTTGAAGCCTGTGGCAACTTTCACTTTATATGTTCACAAGTTACCCTAACATGTTAAGTAATGTAGGTGAACCCACGCCAATCTGTTGTTCAGGAGTTTTGGCGGATGATGAAGGAACTTACCCCGTTTCTTTTGTACGGGCGCGGGCCCACGATAGAGGCCTGATTATGGGTTTGTAGCTCTATGATTGTATGAATCTCAGTGTAGTATTTACCTGTACAGTACATGTACATGTACTGTACATGTACACAACTGTACTGCATAGCAGGACACACACTGGCCATCAGTACAAGGCTATGGGCAGCCTTCGTGCCGCTCAATTCACGAAGCACTCAAGGCTATCACTGATATTCAATACCGTCACGTACCGCCCATTGGGTGTCCACATGGGACATAAAGGCGGGCGAGTGGGCGGACACTTAGATACTGAGTGGGTCCGTATCCCATAGCTATGCAATCTTAACAACCCGCAAGGGCAGAACACTTTACGGCGCCTTCTGTGCCCCAGTTTCTCTGTAAAATCTGGAGAGATTCTACAGATTTTTTAGACACAGTTTTCCAGATATTTGGTAGAGTCTTTTTGAGATTAGAACAGCCTCCGTGAGCTATGGAACTACGTAATCCTTGACCCCTTGATGCAACTCACCCCAACCAAAGATTGGACACCGTGTAGGCAGGCAGTACACCATATTACGTAATTGGCGGAGGGGGGGGGTTAGCCCAGCACAAACAAAACGCCCATTGATTTTGAAAAACATAAAACAACAAAGAAACGAAAAAGCAACACAAATTAAAGTAAACGAATGCTTATATATCTGAAGTGAGAAAATGTAAAAGAAAATAAAATTTTGAAAGTAAGAACAGACGGCAGTAATTTATATATGCATCAGTGCTCCCCCGAACCTTTTTCTACTTGGGACAACAACAAAAATTGATCCAGCTCATCGAACAAGGAAAATACTGGCCTTCTGTAACTATCATCTCCCTGCCAGAAAATGGAAAGTAGCAAAGCTGGCAAGTATACTGCCACTAATGTGAGGCAAACATTTTCTAGATGTAGATCGTCAGAAAGTCATTGGTAAAAAGAAAATTTAAAGGTAGATTTCGTATCCCTTGTGAACGAACTGCCTGATGTGCATGTATACATGTACATTCGATCATGTTGAACATATACGTACAAAGATATCGTAATTACTACATTTCACTGTTGCATAATATTTCCTTTTGAAGGGGGAGGCAGGGAGACATGCGAAAACTACAGCCAATTTTGACCGTATAAGGTTAATCCAGCTTTTACATCTGGTTTAATAGTTTTCTATGTCCAAGTTCCAGTTCCAAGGCAGCACTGTGACCACCAAAACGTTCCCCAAATTGAACCCTGAAACAATAATCCTCATTCCAAAAACAGGAACGCAATAATGCTGCTATCACTCCAGAGGTGTAACTAGGGCTGGCTGTCTGGGGGGAACCAGGGGGGTGCATACGTTTCATGGGGGCGGCAGCTATTACTGTATCAGCTTTTAAGGCAATGAAGAAGCTGTGAAATAAATTACCTTTATCAATCCACGGTGAAGTAAACTTGAAGTCTTCCGAGTCAAAACAACTTAATCACTTATGCAACTTTTTGTTTTCAGTTTTGTAAGGCCATGATTTTTGTTTACTCGGACACTTGCGTTTCAGTACTAAAAATAGATAATCTTAGCTTCTTGGCCGTGAAAATTGAGATTTCATAAGGACAATGGTACTTTGAAAACAATACTTTGAAAAGAGAATAATCTATTCCTTTAAATATTTAAAAATGGGCATCAAAACTGTAATTCAAATAGGTTGGGTGTTTATCAAATCACAGCTTTATCACTCTCTGCCATTTGATCTCTGCCATGAAACTCATTTATTAGCTTTCAGATTTTCTGACAATGAAAATACTTTTATTGTTGGCTTGATGGCATATAATTTGATTCTCCTGTAACATGAATGCTAATATAGCTTAAAAGGTCAAAAGTCAGGGGGTAAAAAGTGGGCAAAGCCACAGATGGCAACAAAGCCAAGGTATGAAAATCCTCTTTTTGTGTACCCACCATGGCTTTAGGGATTCAATAAGATTTCAATGGAGGTCCTTTCCAAATCGCTGGTTCTCTAACCTTTGAGACCACAGGCATAGAGGTTTACAAACGAAATGTGTTGAGAAAATTCCTGCAATTATTTCCCAGATATGCACACTTAAAGGAAAATGCAGGTAAGATGTACTGTTTTTAAATACAAATAACAAGACATTTTGCTTTAAGCATGCATACACAAAACCGTAAAAACATCTTTTACAAGAAATGGTTGCTGCTTTACAATAAGCCATGTGCGAATTGAATTAGAATAAAATCTGGTACACTGAGTTCTTTAAATTCACATGAACACAACAACTTGAATTCTCCATCCTAAAACCACCGTTGCTATACCTTGTGATTCGGGGCAAGCTTTTGCTTAGTTAAGTAAGTGACGCCTTGCAACGATACACTGTTCTCAACGGATAAGAATGGCACAAAGGAACCAGTCCATTCCAGAGATGGTGGTCGCTATGCAAAAGCTTGCCCTGAATCACGAGGTATAGCAAAAGTGTCTTTAGTCTGGGGAATTCAAATTGTTATGTTTCTATGCAATCAGATAACACAGTGTACCAGATTTTATTCAAATTTAACTAGCAAGTGGCTTACTCCACTTGAAAGTCTATGCATGTATCTCATATTTAAGGTGATTATGCGAAACATTTTGAAGACAGTTACCCTTAAAGAATACTGAGGAAATGCTTCATGTATGGGTAAAAACAAAAAAACAAAATTAACTGAATAAAATACACTTGGTATGAAGTATATTCCTTTTAAGGCCTATTCGCACAGAAAATAGACAATAGAATTCAGCTTTGAGAAAAAGATTACACCAGTTTGAACGGATAATTTCAAGGTCAATGTACGTACTCTGTATAGAAAAGCAATAAACTGCTTGGAAACCACAGCTATTTTTTACAAAGTCTGTACTGTGATTCTTTAGTGGTTCGTTAGCCAGTGAGTTATTGAAAGGTCCAAGCCCTTCATTATTACATCAACTGTAGCTCAACATCTCATGGCTTTCCATTAATGCAAGAACGTTTACTACCACACAATGTGTCAATTTTTTTAACAGCTTTCTGCTAATGATCTTCTGTTTCATTAAACCATTAAGATACTAAGCTCTCACAAAAATTTCATCAAGCAGACAACTTTTATACAGAATTTACCAAAGCTTTCTCATATGTCAAGCATAATGTACAGTTTTTAAACTGTTTCTTGCATCATTTATTTGACCAAAACAAAGCTATTTGGGACAGAACACTGAAAAGACAAATTTGTTGAATTGCTGATGCACTGCTGTTCATCTACTTCTTTTTGTCGGTGAGACCGGCCCCTGCATTGAACTTAAAATGGATGATGTCACCATCCTCTACGATGTAGTTCCTTCCTTGCTGTCTGTATTTCCCTGCAGCCTTTGGAAAAAGAAAGAGAGAAGAACAATCTTTCGGACCAAAGTACATTTGACACTTGCACAAAACAAATCATAACAAATCTTTTGAAGTTTGGCCTCTGCACAGAAATGTTTCGTACATAGAAAGTGAAATAGGCACAAGGCACAACACTTCACTGGTATGCAATATTCCTTATTTGCAATAACACATATGAACCAATGAGATTATTAACATCTCCTTTGAATGTATTACAAAAGGGGCTGCAGGCCCCAGCTGAATCTTGTGTTAATTATTATTAATCATTTCTGGTAATGACACCAATGATGCCCTAGGTACTGTAGCTCGCAAGCCTGCAGAAACCTGTAGGGGCCTGTAGGGGAGACAGTGAGAAGTACAGTAGTTACAGTTTTGGGGGTGGGAGGAAAACCCCAAAGGAATATTCTGGGTAAAACCCATGGAATCAGGTACGGACTGAAAACCCAAACCACATGTGGACCGAGCTGGGAATCGAAACCTGATCTCATAGGTGGAAGCTAAGGAAAGAACTACATGTACTACACCAACCTGACTCCCCCAGGTCTAAGTATTCACTGGTTGCAAATATACAGGCACACGCTGACACCAGACATATCCATTTCTCTAGAAGCCTTTTCCAAACACAGCCCAAAATGTACATGGACATGAACAATGCACATTTACAAGCAAAACAGAAAACGTCCTTCAATTGCCCTTGCTAACACATGTAGGTAAATATTCCAAAACAAAAAGTAAAAACACAACTGTCACACAAGCCATTTCAAGTTCAGGGCAAAAACCATTACAGACAGTTTACTTTGTGGAAATTGGCTACAGGTACTTACTTTAACGTCACTTTCTGAGCCAAGCTCCTTAAAGTCATCATACTTCATGACTTCAGCCATGATGAAACCTTTTTCAAAATCTGTGTGAATTTTTCCAGCAGCTTGGGGAGCCTTGGTACCCTTCTGTGAAGACAAAAAAAACACAAAAGGGTTTCCAGATGACTAAGTATTCACAACACTTCCCAGATTAATGAGTATTCATGATACTTCCCAGATTAATGAGTATTCATGATACTTCCC